GACTGTTCCTCCATCAGTTTCAAGGCTGCTGGCAGTTCTGACCAGTGAACTACAAATCTAGCGGCTTCCCACACTACCGTCAGTTTGAGCAATTTGCTAGAATCCGTCACAAAACTCAGAAAAGTGCTGTATTTATGATTCTAATTTTATTATAAAGGGTACAAATCAGGACCAGCCAAAAGAAGACACACATAAGTGAGGTCTGGGTGGGCCCCGATTGCAGAGCTTCCATATCCTGTCCCCATGGACATCAATGTGTTCATCAGCCAGGAAGCTCCACTGAGCCTTGGTGTCCAGAGTTTTTACTGGGATTTCATTATGTAGGCATGATTGAGTGAATCATGGACCATGTCATTAAAGGCAACCTCCAACTCGCCCCTTCTCTCCAGAGACTGAGCTGGCTCATAGCTCCAACCTTCTAATCACATAGTTGTTCTTTCTGAGATCATAGTCTACCCTGAGCTACCTCATCTTTTACACTCAGGTGTGATACAAGAGACCTGTGAACAACAAACAGTCCTATTACCTGGGAAATTCCAGGAACTTGAGTCTCCTTCCCAGAAGCCAGGTACAAAGGCCAGTCAAATGCTTGATTATACAACAGATGGGTTGTCCGTACAAAGGTTTCTGGTGGTGTAATTAGAGTTGGGTAATTAGTGTCTCTGTTTTCCATTTAATGGGATGAATTAATACCAAGAAATGAAACTGATGATCGTAACGAGGACATTACCTTTGGAAAATCATAAATACTATTAACACACTGCTGTCTATCAGAGAACAGGGTGTTCCCCTATATTTCTCTTTCATGGGAACATGTGAACAGAGTGTAGCCTTCCATTTCAGCAGGCATACCGTTTGGGCACCTTGGTTTTCATAAGGGAATGTGAACTCTACCACTCTCCTACGTAGTTTCTTTCTCTCTCTCTTCTCTCTCTCTCTCACACACACACACCCCTGTGGCCTGAGAATACAATGAATCACTACTAACATCACTGAGTGCTTATCATGTGCCAGGCATTGTGTTAAAAGCTTCATATACATTATGTAATTTAATTATTTAAACCACAAACCTACAAAATAAGCATTATAATCATTCCATTTTATAGATACGTGACTGTCTTAGGTTACACAGCTTAGAGGTAGAGGAACCTGGACTAAATGCCAGAATCAGACTTCCTTAACAATTGTGCTAGAGCCCATTCTGGCAGAGCCCAGCTGAAAAGCAATGAGATTTGTGGGAGAGAATTTAAGAAATGTGGTATCTGTTTAGTCCACTACATAGTCTATGTGCTGTACTTAATTTGCATCACAGACCTCGAAAACTACCTGCAGTAATGTTTTAATGTTGTTGCCTGACTTTTATGAAGCTGGATGCAACAAACAGCCTGGATTCTTCTGAATTCTTAGTGAAGCTGTTGGGAAAGATATTGAAATGATGCATCAGACAATTGTGCCCTATGGCTGCCAGAGGTGGAGATTTCTTTGAGTTTCACACAAGGTACAATCTTTTGTCTCCTGAAGAACTGCTATAAATCTGCATCTGAGATATTGTTTTTATCAGCTCCTGTGTTGTCCCCAATTTTTAATATGAATTTATGCTGAAATAGAGCAATTATAGTGACTCCCATGATAAGCACATTTGCTTTTCTTTGCTTAATCCAGGTTTATCTGTTTTTATTCTCATTTTATTGAAATTCTGCTTTTGGTATGTTACTTAAACCCTCGAGTTCTTTTAGACTAGAGTAAAAACAAATATTCTAGATATTTGGCAAGTAGTATAAAATCCTATCTATGAATGGCCAAATTTTATTTTGGTAGAATACAACAAAATATACTCAACATTCAAAGTATACTGAGCTTATAGCCTTTACGTAATCTTTATCCACTTAGTCAAATGATGTCTGGGGATCTTTGCAGAATTTCAGGATATCACGATTAATACCAATCATTAGTATCCCATAGAAGTATAGAAATGCCAGTTAAAGATTTCTGGTTGATTATGATAATAACGTTGATGATCATAAAAGTGAATATTTGGACATTGACTCATTTGAGGAAGATTAGCGAGTGCTTTCTTTGGACCAGATGAATGATGTTCATGTTCTTTCTGAGAGAATGTTGTGGGTTGAATTGTGTCTTCAAAAATTTATATGTTGAAGTTCTAACCCCCAGTGTCTCAGAAAGTGACCTTATTTGAAGATAGGGTCTTTAGAAGTAATTAAATAAAAATGAGATCATCAGGATGGACTCTAATCCAGTAGGACTGGTATCCTTACACACCGGGGAAATTTGGACACAGACACAGAAAAAAGGCAATCTGAAGAGACACAAGGAGAAGATGGATACGTACAAGCCAGGGAGAGAGGCCTGGAACAGATCCTGTCTTCACAGCCCTCTGAAGAAACCAGCCCTGTTGACACATTATTTTTGGACTTATAGCCTCCAGCACTGTGAGATAATGAAGTTCTATTGTTTAGACAACACAGTCTGTGGCCTTTTGTTATGGCAGCCCCGGCAAACTAATACAGGGCATGCAGACAATAAGCAAATAAACAGGATTGCAAATAATTTATTTTTTAAAAAGATGGTGACACATGCTCTGGAGAACAAGAAGCCAGACTGAGGGAGGAAAGGGTTGGTTAGGGATCACTGGTAAGGTGACATTTCACAGGACTGGAAGAAGGGAAGGTGCAGATCAAGCAGATAGTAAGGGAAAGGGTGTTTCAGGCAGGAAAACATTGAATGTCACAGAGCAGGGAGCATGCTTGTTGTGTTCAAGAAACCACAGGAGGCCAGGTGCAGAGGTTCACACCTGTAATCCCAGCACTTTGTGGGGCCAAGGCAGGAGTATTGCTCAAGCCCATGAGCTCATGACTAGCCTGGGCAACATAGCAAAATCCCATATTTGCAAAAAAAATTTATTTAAAAATTAGATGGGCATAGTGGTACACACCTGTAGTCCCAGCTACTCAGAAGACTGAGATAAGGAGGGTCGCTTGAGTCCAGGAGGCAGAGGTTGCAGTGAGCTGTGATTATACCACTGCACTCCTATCTAGCTAACCAAGGGAGACCCTGTCTGCGGAAAAAAAAAAGAACCCAAGGAGACCAGCAAGGTTGCCATAGAGAGAGCCAGGGCAGGCTCAGCGTGGACAGGTGGGGACTAGACTTCCCAAGTGCATATAGGCTTTACAAAACTAGATTTTCCTCCAAATGAGAAGGGGGATTCTGGAGGGTTTTGAATAGAGGACAAATTAATGCTTTAAAAGCTCCTATCTAGATACTGTGAAGAGAATAAATTGAAGGGGCAAGAGAGCAAGATGGGTGCTGGGGGAGGTGAGAAGTGGTCACTGTTGAATGCTGACTTGGATGTGAGGGATGACTGCAAGGATCACACTGGGGAGGGAGCACAGAGGTAAAGACAGGATATTGATGTGAGCAGCTGGGAGGATGAAGGCATTTTGCTCAGTGGAGAAGGCAGGTGGGGAGACAGCTGTGAGGGAGGGAAGGTGCAGGGAATCAGAAGCCTCATGTTGGACATGTTAAGTTGCAGGAACCTTTTAGGCATCCAGGTAGAGATGTCAAATGGGCAGTTGGACATAGGAGTCTGCATGGGTTGGGGTACGTGACCTTGGGGCATGTGACCAAGGGTAGTGCCTGGAATCTTGGTGTGCCTGGATTTCAGACATGCCACACACACAGTCTTGCCCTGTTATTATTAACAATCTAGGAAGCACTTCAGGGACTCTACTGCCTACGGGGAATGAAGCTTTTCGCAGATTACTGGGCACCACAAGCTTGAAGACTCAGCCTGGATTCTAGCTCAGTCTAGGCTCTTTCTCTAACTGGGCAGGCTGATTAACTCTCCAAAAGTCATTTCCCCATTTCTGTAATGGAGCTTATGTCTTCCTTGCCATGTTACAGGGCTCATTGATTCATTTGTTCATTCAACAGTTATTTATTAAGTGTTTACTTTGTACCAGTCTTAATACTGGCACCTGAATATAAATACATGAGGCTTACAATCTAGTGGGAAAGACAGACATACAACAAGTAAACAAAAAAAGGTATAATTGAAACTGATGAGTGTGGTGAGGAGATTAAACAGGAAGTAGGAACAAGGACCAACAGGGAGGGCAGGCCTGTTTCCGCGGGGTGCTGGGCTGAATTCTAAGATGGCTGCCAAGAGCTGGCTCCCTTCACCCGCTTCCTGCCCTGAGAATCCCCTCCCCTTGAATGTGGGCAGGGCCTACAAATATGATGGGATAGTCACACTTGATTAGGTTACATTATATGATAGTCTGTCTTACTGGATTGGTGCCATATTGTTGTGAGCTGCCTTTGAAGGGAGCTGTGTGGCAAAATCTCAAGAGTAGCCTCTACGAGCTAAAAGCCAGCAAGGAAATGGGGACCTTCGTCACACAGCCAGAAGGAAACGGATTCCACCGACACCCAAGGAAACTTGGAAGTGGACCCTTGCCCCGCTGAGCCTCCAGATGAGGATGCAACCAGCTGAAACCTTGACTGCAGCCTTGTGAGACCCTGAGAAGACCTAGATAACATGTGGCAGACTTCCGACCTGCAGAATTCATGAGGTCATAAATCTGTGGTGTTTTGGCCGCTGAGTTTACAGTCACTGGCTATGTACCATAGAAAATGAATATATATAGGGCGGTCCAAGAAGGTCTCTCTGAGAATATGACTTGTAAACTAAGACCTGAGGGTAATGAGTCAACAAAGGGAAGAGTGACAAGACAGAGCATTCCTGGCAAAGGACTCCGAAGTGGGAAAGAAGTGAAGGAGTTCAAGAACAGGAAAGTGGCCAGTCCAGCCAGAGCCCAGCATGTGAGGGAGGGAGACAGGAACAAGGTGAAGGTAATGTGGATAAACTTTTGGCCTTTCACAAACACAGGACATTGCTCTCTTACTCAAGTTCAAAGCCACATCTCTGAATGCAGTATCAGGTAAGTGACTATAAGAAAGGGACTCCAAAACAGAGTGGCTTAAGTAGAAGAGAAATTTGCTTTTATTCCGGGCCATGGGGCAGAGATTTAGAGGTTTAGAGCTGGTGTGTTTGGCTGCTGGCTGGATAGATGTGCAACTTTTAGCATGTGGCTTTTATTTCTGGGCCTGAGGTGGCTGCTTCAGTTGTTCCAGTTTTCCAGCTGGTGGGAGGAAAAAAGTAAGAATGGAAGTCTTTGTGCTGCTGTATTAAAACAATAACAACAAAGACTGTGATTTGGAAGTCATGGTCATCCGTCATCACTTCTGGTCTCAACCCATTGGCCAGAGTCCAGTCCTGTGACCTCACCTACTGCCGTGGAGTCCCGGGTACGTGTCTCTAGCTCACCCTTGAGGATTCCTCTGTCTAAGAGTTCCCTGCTAACTTAGAGCTGTGTTTCTAAGAGTATAGCCTCTAGGGAACCATGAGCAGTCTCTGTCCCAGTCTAACTTTATTTAGCCATAAGCCTGGACATATCTTTAGCTTTCCCCCAAGGCTCCAGGATGGTAGAGCTGACATTCAAAGTGGACTGTCATTTGTGTTCTATCATCTCTCCAATGATTTCCCAAGAATAGAATAGGATGAGCAGCCACATAGTGGGTGCCAAGTCTTGTCTCTTTCATTTCCTGCCAGCCCTGGAAAAAAAAAATCTCCTTACCTACTTGCAATCACTTCTCCCTGGTCAGAATGCTTCTGCCATTGGGGCTTTGTCTTACAGCCTTCATGCCCGTCAGCCCTGGGGGCAGGCACTTAACGCGTTTGGCATGCCCTGTAACTCTCCAGCATTCTGAACCTTTACTGCATGTCAGAGACATTTATTAATACTGCTGCTAACAATAGTACCTAGCAGGGAAGGCCTGGCACAAACATGGAAGAAGCAGCATTTCCCTTTACTGTGCTTTCATTGTTCACTGGAGAGGACAGGTGGAGATAAATTCAGATTTGCCTTTTCAGTTCTCTCACTCGGGTTACGGTTCCCATTACTCGAAGTTGTGCTTTGCTGGCACCCGTAGGAACACGCAGCAAATAACAGGTCTGTAGGGTGTTCTTATGCTCCATTCATGCAGCCTGAAATGGAAAAATTCGGTTTCTGAGAAAGCTGCAGGTTCCATCTCTGAGGCTGAGGTTGTTTTGAAATGAGGTGGCCGTAAAGGCTGAGGACAAGCTGACTCTTGCCTGCCTTCTTGCTTGCAAAGAGCAAAAAGACAAGCAGAGAAAGCAACATTAGCCACCTTTGTGTGCCTTTGGGCATCCCTATCTGTCAGCCTTTTACTTTGAAAAATTTCTCTAGAACTGTATAAATTGATATCAATTGCTAACGTCATTGAAGCCAGGTTTATGCCAAGAAGTATGCAGGGAGCCTCCCATGTATTATTCCTTTTAAACCTCAATAACTCAGTTCTGTGAGTACCGGTTATTCCTTTTTCATAGAGGAGGAAACCAAGACAGGGAGAAATTCAGGCTGTATGTTCGATGTAGCACAGCTGGTGAGGGGCAGAGGCAGAACTTGAACCTGTGTCTTTGTGACCCTAGAGCCTGCAGTGGCAATCTGGACATCCTACTGCCGTTAAAATAGCGGAGAAAAGTTTGCCATCTCCAGTTGCTTTTTTCCACCACAGGCTGGCAGCTACTGGCCATTCCTACCGTGGAAAGCAAAAGGCATCCCAGCCTGGGAAACCAGCTGGATTTCATCACATCAGCTGAAGTCCCGACAGCTGACTTCAGGTCAGCTGAAGGTGTAGTCACCTGCCTCCACTTCCACCTTCCCTCCATACGCTCTGTCACCCCACCCACCGCAATCCTGACAACACCTGATGGCTGCTTTTCTACCTGGTCAGTTACTGGGTGCTGCGGGCCCCGTTTCTCCAGGCTTCTCCACCAGTGTTTTCGCTGCAGAATAGGTTCAACACGGCTTTTGTTGGCTGACCTAGGACTTGGTGCAGTGGGCTGCACACTGATCTCTGAACCAGGAATTCACAAATAAGTTGTTAGGACCTGCTATGGTCTGAATGTGTTCCCTGCCTCCTCCACCCACAAATTCACATGTTGAAACTTAACTGCCAATGTGATAACATTAAGAGGTGGGGCCTCTAGGAGCTGATGAAGTCATGAAGGCTCTACCTCTCACGAATGGGATGGGTACCCTTATAAAAGGGCTCAAGGGAACTAACTAGATCCCTTTTGCCCCTCTGCCTTCTGCCATATGAGGACACAGCAACAAGGCACCATCTTAAAGCAGAGTAGCCCTTAGCAGTCACTGAATGTGTCGGTGCCTTGATCTTGGACTTCTCAGCCTCCAGGAGTGTGAGAAAATAAATCTCTGTTCTTTGTAAATGACCCGGTCTTAGATATTGTGTTGAAGCAGCAGAAATGAACTGAGCAGGACTCTACTCATTTATTGTTTGGTGGGTCTCCTGTAGTGCTGCCGTAAGAAACTGAGTGCAAAAACATGCCCTTGCAGAAGGGATGTGTTGAGAGTAATGCATCGTGTTGTGAAGGGAATCACTCCCTGTGACAGCCTGTTCGAAGTGAAGAACACCAGCCTAGGATTCAAGTGCAGCTGTCTTTTCCTGAGTGCTCACTGTGGGCTAGGCCCTGTGCCAGCCTCTGTTGCCTGTCTGATTTCATGCAAGCCTCAAAATTATTCTGCGAGGTAGGCTACCTTATCAATATTTCACAAATGAGAAAACAGGCTAGATATGTTAAATGGCTTTCCAAAGGTCGTTTGACTTGTAAAATGGAGTCTTCAGTCTCCAATGCCAGTGTTCCTTTTTGTTTTCTAACTCAGCTACTAGTTTACTTTATAATCTCAGGGGGAAAATCTCTTTTGGCCTTTTTTTCAAATCATTAAAATGAGAGGATTAGATTAGATCACTGTTTTCTAATTTGTGTTCCAAGAAACTCCTAGTTAGGTGATCATAGCTACAGGCTATGATCATAGCTACAGGCTTTTGGGTTGCAGCTTAATTTTTTTTTTTTTTTTAGTAGAGACAAGGTCTTACTATGTTGCCCAGGTTAGTCCTGGCTTCAAGTGATCCTCCTGCCTCAGCTTCCCAAAGTACCAAAGCTTTCCAAATTACAGGAGTAAGCCACTGCCCCTGGCCAAGGGTATTCAGCAAGTTTAGTGAGCACCTATTATGTGCTGGGCATTGTTCTAACCAAAGATGATAATTGATAATAAAGTCCCTGACCTCTGAGAGGCCTTGGCAGGGTTTGAAAGAGATGAACAAGCAAATAAGAAGATAATATCAATGGTAAACCCAATGAAAGAAATAGGGTGCTGTTACAGAAAATCAGGGGGTACTTTAGGGTGTTTAGGGAAAGCTTTTTGAGTTAAGGCTTGAAGAAAGGAAGGAGCTAGGTGAAGAATATTTCAGGCAGAGGAAACAAGAACAAAGGTCCTGAGGCAGAACAAGGTTTAAGACAGTGGGGAAATGGAAATAAGGCTGTATCACTGACCCACAGTGACCTAGGGGAAGAGTGGACAGAGGAAAGGGGAAATCACTTAAGACCTATAAGGAGCTATGGGCAAGAGCATTAATCGTAATTATGAATAATAAATTTGCTTATCAAATTGCTAATAACTTGCTAGACCTGTATTAGGCCCTTCATTCACCTTAAGTTAGGAGTTGGGAAATAGTTATCTTGGGCAAGTTACTGAAATTTGCTAAAACTCAGTTTTCCCATCTGCTAAGTGACGATAACAATGCACCCCTTCCATGGAGATACTGAGAGGATTAAATGAATTTAGCTCCAAATCTGGCTTGGAGTTAGCTCCTGGGGAACAGTGGCCGTTCCTGGGAGGAAGGAGGAAGACAGGCACAGGACTTAGGTCTCATCTCTTGATTTCCCAAGATGATTTGTTTTCCTCACTGGCCGTTGAAGAAAGTATTGTCTATTAAAAACTGTTTTAAATCTGGTCAGATTGAAATTCCTGATCAGACTTCAAGGTTCCATCCAAGTGTACCCTTTGGAGACCCAAGTGTTTCTGGTAAACAGCCCTCGCCTGTCCCCAGTTCCCTCCGGCACATTCCACTCCCGACTTAGAGATACCTGACTTCTTGTCAGGCTCAGGAGGACAACAACTCCCAGATGAAGGCTTAGAAACCAAGGGCAGCAGAGAATCAGAAGTGAAGACCAACCATTTCCGAAAAGACCATGGCAGTCAGTGGGGACATTTGAGTGGATTCATAGCTAACTTCTCAGGATCTCATTGGGGATATTAACTTACAGAAGATTGTCTGCTTGGAACTTTCTGTGTCTCTCACTGGAAGCCCAGTTGAAGATTATATTCTGGGCAGGACTCATGGGGTTTCATACAAGGCCTCTGGGGAGGCTATTTCTGGAGAACGCTATTGGTTACCCATCAAGTAACCATTTTCTCACCCTTTCTCAGGCCAGCAGAGTTCATTGCCCGTAGGGGCAGAAAATACGGGTTCTCACTTCCACAGCCTCCCTTGCAGCGCTGACAATAGTCATGTGACCCAATGTTGGCCAATTAAACCAGAGGAGAGCTCTGCTAGAGAGCTTCTGGGCAAGATATTGTCTATGTGATAAGGGAAATAGATAAGAGGAAAAGCCACGACTTCTCCTTGCTAGCATTTTGTGTGTGTAGTTGTTAGGGCAGGATGTATGGAGTCTTAGCAGCCATGTTGCAATAGTGAGGGAGAGTCTCTGAGAAGCCCGGATGATATGATGTGATTGCGTCCCAACCCACATCTCACCTCTAGTTTTAATAATCCTCACATGTGGTGGGAGGGGCCCAGTGAGAGGTAATTAAATCATGGGGGCAGGTTTTTCCCATGCTGTTCTCATGATAGTGAATAAGTCTCATGAGATCTGATGGTTTTATAAAGGAGAGCTCCCTACACTGACTCTCCTGCCTGCTGCCATGTAAGACGTATCCTTGCTCCTCCTTTGCCTTCCACCATGATTGTGAGGCCTCCCCAGCCATGTGGAACTATGAGTCCATTAAACCTCTTTTTTCCCTTTATAAATTACCCAGTCTTGGTTATGTCTTTATTAGCAGCATGAGAATGGACTAATAATATACCTGACATGGTTGAGCCATTGAGCCACCTCTCACTGGGCTACTGTTATGTGAGAAAAAGAAATCCCTTTAATTTAAGCCCATTATCTCTGGCTACTCAGCGATGTGCAATTGGGAGCATCTTAACTGCGGTATCTCTGCTCCCCTTCATCCCTTCTCATTACTCTCCCCTTTGGAAAGAATCAGAGAGCCCTTTCCACCTGTTCAGTGATGTCTACACGTTTTTAAAAAGAAACAAAGCCTTTCATTTCCTGGGTGCTTTTAGGTTCAGTTTGCCCAGGACCCTTCCAGAGCAGCTGTGGTTTATTCCTGGGGTTATGGTGTAATTTTAAAGAGTACTCAAAATTATGTTCTTGGAGGGATGATAAATTATTTGGTCACACTATTTTCCCTTTTCAGAGAGAAAAAGCTTCAGTGTGGATGCCTCTAGGAGAGAAAGAGAGAAAACACACAGCTTTCAAATTCACAAGAAAAGAGTAAATGGCTAACCCCAGGGTTGGGGGTGGGGGTAGGCAGAACTGGAGGGAGCCCCGGGAGTAAAAGAGGTTCCCTGGAGTAGGGAGGAGGCCCAGAAAGATCAAACTTGGAGCTCCAAAGGCAAACTGCATGCATTTCCCAGCTTTTCCAGTGACCCGCCCTGCTTCCAAGAGTACGCAAAGCCTTTGTTGGTACATTTCTGATCTTTCTCTGCTGCCTTTTCACACAGTCCTGATCCACTTTTTACCAACACCCCCGGGGTGAGCACAGCCTAAGATTTAGCCAAGAAGTCTGAAACTCTTCCCTGTGGTTTTTGTCTGAACCCAGACAACTCCCTGTTTTCTTCTGAACCCTTTCCAAGACCCCCACAGAACTGACAATGGCAATATACAAAGTGGGTAATGTCACTGTCACCGCACTATTTCAGTTCCTTTTTTTTCAGACCTTTCCAGACCCCTCATAACCGGAAGGTGTTTGGAGTGTACCCTGTCTCCCTCTGTTGTACCTTCCTCCTGAGGGAAGAAAAGCAGTTCACAAACCAGACAGTTTATTCCTGCTGAACAACACATTGTTAAGTGCATACATTAGTCTTCATGTAAATTATACAGGCTTACTATCTCTGAGAAAATCTGGCTGCCCTGTAAGCAGAGTAGAATGATGAGCAACATGCCTGCAGCCCTAATAGCTGTCCCTGAGGAGTTGAATCCAGGAACGGAAGGAGCCCTTGTGCTCACAGAGGCCGCACCGGGCATCAGGCCTCAGTTCTAGCCAATCTGCTGGGACTAGAGCTAGGCAGGGGGCCTTGAAAGGCAAGACCCTGCTTCTTGCACAGAGATATGCTTCTTTCTTTTTGCCCTCTGTGCCCGATCATTCAGGTGACTATTAGGGCTTGTGCAGCAGAACAAAGCAGGAGAAGTGACTGAGGGGGATGTGGGTCCCAGGGAACACTTGGCTGGAGCTGGGGAGAGACTGGGCTGGAATCAATGCCTAGAATCCTCATCATTCATAATCTGGATCTGTGGGAAACTGGTAGGCTCCTTGGAGGAGGGACTTCAATGCTAAAAGAGAAAAGTCTTTTAACTCATTTAGTAATAAAGGTCTGAGTGCCTACCCTAGGACTAAACTAGGGTCAAAGGCTACAAGAGTGAACAAAGCACAATTGTCCCTAGATTGTAAATTTTCAGTTTACTAGGAATTTCACATAACAGGTAGTTATAAAGGAGTATTGATGTCATTGGTTAAAAAAAATAATATTTAAAAATTACCCCACAAGATGTCTGTGAGTCCTTTTGTGTCAGTCTAAATGGGCCAGCCCAAGGGTCACTATCACAACTTCTTATGATCTAGATCCTGAAAAATTAGAACTTAATTTGTAGGAAATTGATAAGTTGCAAATGATTTTTGTCTGGCAGAGATGTAAATGATTTATATCCATTGGAATAAACTGTTCCAAAGGGTTATAATTGTGTTGCTGCTAGGATGTTATTCAGTTTTGCACCTAAGTCAGCAGTCTTCCTTCAGCATCCTTGCTTTCACTGACTATTCTGTACCTACTCAGCTTCTCATAGGTTCCTTTGATCCAGCTTTATCATCCTGCTGGTTCTCTCATGAATGAGTTAACTAAATCTTTGGCATAGACTTTGATGTATTTGCATGAGAGTCACACCTTTAACTTTTTGGAAATTATCATCTGACACCTTAGAGGTAAGACCACCTTAGTGCTAAGGGGTAAAAGACAAGAAACATGAAATCCAGTCTTGGGGGTTTAGGGAAGATTTCTCAGAGAGGGCATTTAAAGTTAGAGATGAAGGATAATGGAGTTAGCTAGGCAAGGATGGAAGCAGGGAAGTGTACTAGGTGGGAGATTCGTTTACGCAAAGGCCAGAGATGAGACAGCTGCCTTAACACTAGAAGCCCAAGAAGGTGATTGGTGAGCACCAGGGCTGGAGAGGTAAGGAACTGTCAGACTGTAACGGACCTCAGTGCTATGCCAAGGATCTTGGTCTTTATACAGAGGGCACTGTAGGTCATTAACAAGCTTTATAATAGGTGCAAAATGTGGTTGGATTTGGCTCCTGGGTTCACTGTCTCATAGCCAGGTGGGAATCTCATTTATTGTAGACTAATTGTAGCCTGCTGACATTGCTTCTAAAGTTTCTATGTAATTCTCGTTCCTTCTAGGTTACTCTACATTAAAAGACATATTGATGGATAAATTTATGGAACAATATACGTTAGCTGGAATGCCCAACAATGAATATTTATCATTTATAAGGTTCCCCTTTTCTAACCTTGTCAAAAATATAGAAAAACCAGGAGTTCAAAAAAAGTGCAAGGCTGACATATTTTAAAGTGAAATTCACAGCAATGGGCAAATCAGAGCTGAAGGGGAGACTCTAGAGACTAGCTATTAGATAAAATTGCTTTCAGAAAGGTTGCTGCTTCTTTCAAGTTTCCTTAGCCAGATGTTTCCATTTAAGCAATAAATCGTAAAACATTTTTGCATGTTTGGCACAAGGGACCATTTATTCGGTTATGATGTAGCCTGCAGAGGACTTTTCAGCATTGATAGCACTTTTGTTTCTTGCCTCATTTAATTTTCATAAAAGCCTTTAAGGCAGAGAGGATGTCTGCTGCCATGCCCATTTTACAGATGGTGAAGCCAAGGTCCAGAAAAGGTCAGTAATTTGCTCAGTCACCACTGCAAATTAGTCAGAGCCTGGAAAAGGAAGATCTTGTCACCATAGCCTTGTCTGATACTCCCATGGAAAATTTTACCTAGTGGGTGTTTAATAAATGCAATAAAAGAACAATTCTGTTCTTAATATGTATCAAATTATATAATTATACCTCTGTACGTTTATTGTTGATTAAGGTTGCTAAATTGTAAGCTTCATTAGGGCAGTTTTCAATTTTCTGTTGCTGTATAGACAAACAACCCTAAAACTTAGTGGCTCAAAACCAACAATTTATTAGTTTTCATGATCCTATGAGCCACAAATTTGGGCATGGCTGAGCTTGGTGATTCTTTGGTTCCACATGGTGTTAGCAAGGGTCACTCAACTACATTATGCTAGTGGTTGGGTTGGACTGCAAGATGGCTACTTTTATGTGTCAACTTGGCTGGACCACGGTGCCCAGATATTTTGTCACACATTTTCCTGATGTTTCTGTGAGGGTGCTTTTGGACATGATAAACATTTAAATTAGTAGACTTTGAATAAAGCAGATTGCTTTCTATTAGATGGGTAGGCCTTTTCCAGTTGGTTGAAGGCCTAAATCTAATACAAGACTGACTTTATCAGAACGAGAAGGAATTCTCCAGTACATCGCCTTTGGATTTGAACTACAATATCTGTTCTTCCCTGGGTCTCAAGCCTGCCAGCCCACCCTGCAGATTTTAGACTTACTAATCTCTATAATTGCATGAACTAATTCTTTAAACTTCTCCGTCTCTCTGTATATATGTATATTTATATGACCACTCCTTCTTTGCATGGCTGGCTTGGGCTTCTTTGCAACATGGTGGCCTCAGAGTAGTCAAACTAATTACATGGCATCTGGAATGTAAGAAAAGTGAAAGCTGCCAGTCCTTTTAAACCTTGGACTTTAAATCTTAGAATATCCCTTCTAATGTAATCTATTCATCAAAGCAGGTCACACGCCAGCTCAGATTCAAGGTGAGGGTAAATAGAGTCTACCTCTTAATGAGAGGATTGACAGAGCCACATTACAAAAGACATGAGGGATGGAAGATATTGTTGCAACCAGTTTTTAAAACAATCTGCCATAGGCAGGGACCAAGCTCTTAAAGTTGTTGGGAATATTAAGTGCATCAATATATACAAAGAGCTGAGCACAGCAAACATTCCTTAAAAACTGTATGTATGTATTTGTGGATAGATGGATGGCGATAGAGTTTGGATATTTGTCCCCTCCCAAATCTCATGTTGAATTGTAATCCCCAGTACTGGAGGTGGGGCCTGGTAGGAGGTGTCTGGATCATGGGGGCGAATCCATCATGGCTTTGTGCTGTCTTCCTAATAATGAGTTCTCGTGAGATCTGGTCATTTAAAAGCATGTGGCATTTCTGTATCCAGTCTGTCTCTCGCTCTTTCTCTCTTGCTCCTGCTTTTGCCATGTGATATGTTGGCTCCTTCTTCACCTTCCATACTTGTAAGCTTCCCGAGGCCTCTTTAGAAGCTGAGCAGATGCCCACATCATGCTTCCTGTAAAGCCTGCAGAGGCTTAATTGGCCTAAAACCCCAATTAAATCTCTTTTTTAAAAAATAAACTACTCAGCCTCAAGTATTTCTTTATAGAAATGCGAGAATGACCTAATGCAGATGGAAAACATGCGCGGGGTGTGTGATTGTGACTCATAGACTCACAGGTGACCCCAATTGTCACTACACCTCATGCTTACCCATAGATAGTCCTTTGAGAAACAAATTTAAAAAGCACCTTTTTCTAATTTGCTCAGTCATGATACAGATGTGCAGCAAGCCCTGGTTGGTAGGCTATGTGGAAGGGTTAACCTTGTACAGAAAGCAGAAAATGATGTCGGCAGTTAGAAGCTGATCTTCAGAGGGCTTACCCTCAAGAAGAGACATTTATTGTTAAATCAATCCAGAGCTATCAGGATTTTTTTCTCCCTTTCAATCTCACTGCCAGTGCATCCCTGGAATTCCTGTGTAGTACCCGTTTATCCAAATCTGTGCTGGAATGAGTCTCAACTTTCATTATCTACCATAAATATTTCTTGATGGGCTTGGGATGTCAGAACTAGTGTCTATTTTGTTTCTAAAAATCTAAGCCTGTGAAACTTTCTATTCTTCATCAGGAACTGGGGTTTTTTCAGTGGTTAAGATGTCCCTCATAAAAACAGGTGGCTCAAATTTCTAGTGCTGTTCTTCTATAAACAAGAGCTAATATCTAGTGAGGACTTGGACTGTGTCAGGCACGGGTTATACAAATTACCCATTAAATCATCACAACAACCCTATGAGGTATAGAATACTATTATTGTCATTTTCCAGAGGAAGAAACAGAGGCACAGAAAAGTTAATATATTGGTTTGCTGTACCTATCAACCCATCACCTAGATATTAAGCCCAGCGTGTGTTAGCTATTTTTTCTAATGCTCTCCCTCCCCAACCCCATCCCCCAACAGGCCCCGGTGTGTGTTGTTCTCCTCCCTGTGTTCGTGTGTTCTCATTGTTCACTCCCACTTATAAGTGAGAACAGGTGGTGTTTGGTTTTCTGTTCCTGCATTTGTTTGCTGAGGATAATGGCTTCCAGCTTCATCCATGTCCCTGCAAAGGACAGGATCTCATCCTTTTTTTATGACTACATAGTATTCCTGTACTATGTAGCTGTGTATGTGTCACATTTTCTTTATCCAGTCTGTTGTTGATGGGCATTTGGGTTGATTCTATATCTTTGCTATCATGAATAGTGCTGTGATGAACATATGCCTGCATGTATCTTTGTAATAGAATAATTTATATTCCTTTGGGTATATACTATGTTTAAGTCAAAGAAATGACAACCCTGAATTTAAAAGAAAAAAAGGCTTTAATTGTTGAACTTGCAAAAAAACCTAGACCTCTACAATTATTCCAGGAGGAACCAGGGTCCCCTAGCAGTGGAGCTTCCGAAGAGAACATAGTAGTCAGCATCCAACTTGGACATTCAAAGGAGAGTGACAGACAGTCAGCACTTCCCGGAGTCCAGCATTAGGTCAAATCAAGGAACTACCCCTAATGCCAGGATTTCAGAATTACTATGGGCAAGGACTTCTTGTTTTTTGGTTCCCTTGACTGAATGGGAGTTTTAGTTTTTGATATCCTGTTTCTACTCCATCAGTGTGTAGGGGGCGAGATGGGCAGATAACTTGTCTTCTAGTTCACAGGTCACCAGATCACAGGGAACCAATTTGGACCCAGTGGCAAGGACTGTACAACATCCCTGAGATCTTGGATTTGAGGTGGTTCTAGCATCTGCATAGTCTTTTTAGGTTGTCTCACTTGGGATGACTGTGTTCTATATGAGGGGTAAGGAGTGAAGTGAATGTTTGGTGAACAGATGGGTAAATTGTGGCAGACAGTGACAATGCTATGTGATCAGCAAAACTGATTTCCTTTTCTTCCTGGTCACTCAGTGAGCCAACACTTCCCGGTTTTCTTTGTACTTTGGTGGTGCCATGTGACTGAGGTCTGGCCAAGAGAATGTGTGTGAGTAATGAAGACAGGTGCAATAAAGAGGCCCCAGAGGTGGGGGCCAGACATTTGGGTAAACAGGAGAGACAACTGGCAGAATGAGGAAAAGTCATCTGCTCCCACAGACTT